GTTATATTACACATTTAAATGTTAAGATTAGACCATAAATTTATTGAGAAATTATTTTTAAAGAAAAGTACGGAAAACAATGGAAAACATCTGTTTTGTTAATTTTCAAAATATTTTTTTCCACATTTTCTTTTCGGGTTTTTTTCACTTCAAAAAGTACAAAATATTTGAGAAATATTTCGAAAAAAAGAAAGCAAACAAAAATTTGAGCTAATTTTAGGTTAGTAATTAGCAAAAATTTCAAAATAGAAGCAAAGATTACCGACAAAGTTAACTTAATGTTATGTGATATGTGATATAAAGGGAAAGAAAATTTTTCTTTACACATTTTAAATGAGAGCTGATAGTAATATATAAATATAACAATAAGACAAAACCAATCATTTCAACATAATTTATTTGATGTCAAATAATCTTGATAGTAATATGTATGATAGTGGGATTTGATATGATAATTCCATATAATGTCTATGAATAATTTAATCAGAATTTTTTCATGGCGATAATTTACTTCACTTTTTTATCATTAAAATATAGTAATTTAGTATGATTATTGAAATCTATTCAATGTTCATAATTAATTTAATCAATTAATTTTGATCAAAATTGCATAAAGTTTATACTATAATTTATCTATATTAATAGGATTCACATAATAATGTGACAATAATAATTTGATTCTTTCTTCTTCTACTCATTAATATTTAAAAATTTGGTTGTTTCTAAAATTAATTTAATAAATTTCTTTTTGAGAGCAAAATAAAAAAAAAAAGCACTTTGCTACTACGATAATTCGGATGTTATCTAAGATCAATTAGATCAATTGTCTCTTTCATTGATTGATATGATAATTTTGATCTAATATCTAAAATAAATTTAGCATTTTTTTTCACTGAAATTATTTCACATTTATATTACTAAAATAGTTGTTGATAGGAATCGCTTTGATATTGTGTAAAATTACTCTAATTAATTTTTCTTTCCACTAATTAGTATTAAATGAATTTCTTTTCATGTCATATTGATACTTCTTTTTTGATCGATTAATTTGATAATATCCAAAATTAATTCAATCAAAAAAACTTTTTTTCCATTTCGATTAAAATTATTTCACATTGATATTATCATTAAAAATACCAATGAAAATATGTAAAAAAATAACGATTTCAGTGGAAATTAAGGGATCGTTGAAAAATTCCTAACTTAATTAATCTTATACTAAATTATTATTTAAAAGAAAAAAAATGATATAAGAAATAATTTGAAATAAAGGAAATGAGATGTATGAAAAATAACAATAACGCACTAATAATCATAACAATGAGATAAACACATGAATGTGATGATAATTTAATTCTATGTGATAGTTAGAAATGCTGAAGAGAAAGTTTTAAATAATGTTGTAATCACGATGAAATTCAGGTCACAGAGGAGATGAGACAATAAATTTCAAATTTTAAACTCTTAGTTAATTGACGGTTTTTAGACAATTTTATGTAAACAAAGAAAAAGACAAACAAACAAACAAATCAAAACTTACTGCTAAATAAATGAATAATATAACAGAAATATTATCAATTTGAATAATATCAAATAATTGCAAAAAATTAGACGAATAAAATTTAATTGAAAAAGTTGAATAATTAAGTTGAAGAGGTATTAGAAAGGAAGGAATAATTATTGCATAAAATGTTATGAGAGAATTTATATAACAATGACACGGATTACTACTATTTATGGAAACGATCAGTCATATTTTGATTTTGTTCAAAATTCGGGTCATTTCATTTCTATTCGTATCTTTATGATCTTTATTCGTCTTATTAAATTGAATAAATCTCATATCATCTTTTTTGTCTCTTTTATTCTTATCATTATATATTTTTTCTTCACTAATATTATCATATTATTTGAAATTTTTCCTATTACTTGAAAGTAATAGAAAATGATAAGAAAAGAAAGTAAAATATGATAAATGATAAATGATATATGATATATGATAAATGACGTATGGTATATGAATGAAATAATGCGAAGATAAATGTGTGTTAATTAATTCATGAGAAATTAATGAAGAACTAATCAAAAATAAGTGTGAAAGAAGAATTGCTTGAATTTTAATCTATTTTTAATACCTTTTTTTTTAATTGAAATGAAAACTTCAATATCATTATTCTTTTATGCTAATATTCTTTTAAGAATAAGATCAACCATATATATTCCTATTTGGAATACAATTATTGATATAATTATTCTGTCAAGAAGAAAATATGATAAGATAAAAATGAAAATTAAATAATAACTACGTATATTTAATGAAACACTCTTTTTTTTTCAACTTTCTTCACAAATTTATAGGTTAATTTACAACTAATATTTCATTAATATTATTGATAATGGAGATAAATATAATTAATTATAGAAAATATGATGGTAATGATGAAATATATGATAAATGATAAGTGATGTATGATATATGAATGAGATAATGAGAAGATAAAATAAAATAGTATAACCGGGCACTAATCGTTTTAATCATAAAACTCGTATTTTTAATTGCTTTCAAATTAAATATATTTCAACTTTATTATATTATTCCTAAGATAGACATTATTATCTACTGTATTTAGTCCAATTTTCTGAAGTAAGCAAAAATAAAAATTTTTAATAATTAAAATGAATTGATATTAATGGAATATACGAAATGTTATTGTGAAATTATCATAATTATTCATTTAACTTAATCATATCATATAGTATTCGCGCAAAAACTTCTACCGAGTTTTTCCACATAATACTATTCATTATCACATTCACTTTATGATATGTTGGGAAAGAATTCATTTTGCACAATCTTATATTAATTGTTGAAAAGAAATGAATTTTCATTTTATAATTTCATTAATTATATTTCATTTATATTTTAATCTTTGTGAAACAAAACATTTGGCATAAAATAAAATTGCAAATGAATCATTTTTTGGTGAATTATTTATTTAATTTTTTTGTTAACTTTACACTTTTTTAAATTTTATTTTTTGTATATTTCTTACCTTTCATTTTCTCTTTTCTTATTTTATTGAAAAAATTCCTTCAAATATACAAAAAGAATAAGAAACAAAGAAATTTTAGGCAATGAATATATGAGAATTAGGTAATGAATGTATGTGAAATAGGTAATGAATATATGAAATTTTAGGTAATGAATATATGAAATTTTAGGTAATGAATATATGAAACTTTAGGTAATGAATATAAGTGATGTGAAATTTTAAGAGAAATTGAGAATGGGAAGAATTAAATTAAATTGAGAAAGAGTGGGAGAAATATTGAAATGTAAAATAAGATTTTGTTAAAAGAGAAGAAAAGATAGAGGTGAAGTGAATGAAGGTGAAGGGAAAAATTCGTATCTCATATATTTTCACATCTTTTAATTTCAAACAAAAAAATTTCTTTCTTTTTGAAACGAACTGTCACAATGAGAATGAAATCCTTCTCATATCGGTGATCGAAAAATGAAAGGAATGCAAATTGCTTTTGTTCGATGTGATTATATACAAATAACAAATAAGACGAAATGATTATATTCATGATGAATGAAAACTGATTGAGTAAATTAAAAATTTTCGAAATCATCTTTACTGATAAATTACAACATTGTAGTGATAAAATTTTAGTAGCAATATATGGATGAAATGATTATATTCAAGAACGGAATGATTATATTGAAGAAGAATGAAAAGTGATTGAGTAAAATAAAAATTTCCGAATCATCTTTCTGATAAATCACAACATCTATATGTTGAGGACATAACGTGATCAATTTAATTTTCATTTCAAATGTATTTTAATTGCTTTTATCACTTCTTGCTTGCAGGTAATTGAACAAGATAAGAAAATTCTCATTTGTTCCTGTTTTCTTCAACCGTAACCGATCATCATTAATTGTGTTTATTATTCATTTGTTTTGTTTTGAACTTGATAGTTTTGCAATAGGGAAAAAATTTCATGCTGAATTTTTGAAAAGCTGATAATGAGAAAATACATAAGCATCAAGTTGAAAAGAAATAGAGCAAATTTGTTGAATGTGAGAATTCCAGCTCAGTGGATCAGTTGTTGCATTCTGTATTTCGTTAATTTGATCGCTGAGACTTCATCCCTTCCTCTTAGGTAGAAGTTCGAGTTTTTCAATTAAAAGTCTCAAAGGTCTAAAATTTAATGTTGATTCATTGACTGATTTTTGAAAGATTATACAAATTCGATGGATAATAATACTTCTTTTTTCTCTAGTGAAAAATATCCTGCTTTCTCAAATTTAATTCCATTTTTATTCAAGGTTCATTTAATACATGATGATTATAGCCAAACAGTGAGAAATGGTAGAGATACTATAACAATACTATTGTATTCTTAACATCGATAACACTATAATTCATCTAACTCCATTTTTGAAATGTTTTAGTTCATTTTCAATCCAATTCTCATATTTGAAACCTTAAGAACATTCAACAGATTATTCAGGCAGTTGGATAATGCAAAACAAAACAATGCATAAATCTTCCCCGAAAACTCAAGCTAAAACCATACTTCGGGCAATTTTCTATTCGATATGCAGCTTAACATTATCAAAAATGATTCTTAGTTCATGTCCGGTATTTACATGGAAACTATGTTGCAAACAGCAACTTAGAAAATTCAAAAATTTTAAAGAAGAAATAAATAGGAAGTATGTGGGTTATGCCAATAAGCTGAAGTAGATAAACATCACTTCAGCTCTGCTGAAATAATGTTTATCTACTTCGACTTATTTACAGTGAAAGAAATTATTTCACTCACTAATCCTCCAGGAATATTCACTTGAAAATTTTGAAAAATAAAAAAGAATGTTCAGACATGAGAAAGTACGCTTTTTAACACTATGCAAACATTATACTACCCAGAAGATGGGTAACGGAAACATAATGCCATTCAGGAAATGTTGATAGATTACCAATTTCATATTATTCTTGTTTGTTACTCTCAGGATACTCATCTCGTTTTTGAACATCTCGGCTATGAACATTGGGAGCTTTGTCCGACGCAGTAGCAACATTTTGCGTAGAAGTTGGAATCGGACATGTCGGGTACAACAGTGCATTAAATTTCATCTTCCATGATTCTGGTAATAACCGGAGTATGACCGGTTGAATAAACTTAATGTATATAGCCAGAAGTATCGGTGGCAATATGCACACAACACAAACCATTTCCCTCAAATAAAAGATTTACTGCTTTCTCATGCCTATAAAGTAAAAAAAATATATCTTTGAGAAGACAATGTTTTCAATTATAAATAAGAAAATTACAAAGAGAGTCACAGTCAGCCGCAGCCTTGTGATGAAAAAAACCACCAGTGAAACACCTCAACTACTAATTCCCCAGCAAATGTAAATGTAAAGAAAGTAGTGAGATACATATAGCATGCAACCTTCCTTTCAGGCCATAGTTGCAGCAATGAAGGAACAAATTAAAATCAATTTTATTACACAAATAACATTTTATTACACTGACAACACAAAAAAAAAACTGTCAACAACACAAACTGTCCATTTATTTTTATGAATTATGATCCAACTTGCAAACTGAATTACCAAGCGTCATGATAATTACATGATTCCACACTCTACAATTTAATCAAAATTCTTAAAATCTCTTAAGCTTTTCCTTAACGCTATCTCGTCTTTAAAGTGTCGAACTTGCCACAATAATACAAAAAAGCTTTCTAAAGCTCTAAAACGCACTCGCCGTCGTTTTAAAGCCTTAATAGCAAATTAAAAACAACAAGAATAACAACGTTCCCTATTCCCTATGAACTGTTACAGTTCCGCCTCTTAAAAACAGCAATAAAAAATCCATTAGTGAGGTCAATTTCTGATAATGTTCGCAGGCATTTATCACCAAATGAATAACTTGCTCTTCCACGATGTGGCCACTTCGGCATTGCCTTTGTCAGTTTGAATCGTGTCCGTAAAAATTCGTCATTAAGGATCTGGAAAAAAAGAACTAATGAGAGGAACATTTTTCTTTTCTATGCTACGTCCAAAAGTTTTCACGAAAACTGAAGTCAATTTGTTATTTCTTACAAAAAAACCATCCACAATTCTCTTCCGTTTTCAGAAAAAATTCTGTAGAGCTAAATTTAGATTAGCAAAATAACTGGCAACCTCTTCGATGACTTGTTCGTTTTCTTCCTCATGAATTGAGCACGTTGAGTAGACGATTTTCTTCAAATTTGGTAATCCCATTGCATGTTTCAAAAGCATAGCCTGAAATTTGAAAATTATGTTCATTAGTGAACAAATGAAATGATAACAGAAGGTTCATAGATGAGGACGGCTACTCAAACAATCTTAGAATCCTAACCTGGATCCAATGCACGAAATTATAAACTCTCCTCCAACTCAGAAATGCATTAAAATGCACGGTTAGAGCCCATAACAACACGGTGTACCATGCGAATCACATTGGATAAAAACCTAATACAAAAGTCCCAAAACACCAGTCATAAATACCGGATAAATCGTGATCATGAGTTATTCCACCTGCAAATTTGATAAAGATCGCAAACGGTTGGTGCTTATTTTTTCTTCCTCATCAATCAGCTGGTCCATACGTTTCACAATCCCAGATCCACTACATGGAGGATCCAACAATGCATACCGCACCTTTTAATGAAATCGTATTAGAAGTGAAATAATCAAAAATGCTGATTATGAAGTGAATTAAAATTTATTCGCCAAAATCATATGTCTCTAATAGAAAATTAATAAAGGACACATTCTGAGAACAATTATCCCACTATTGGAAATTTTTCTGAGTTACCAGACATAAAGGCAAACATACGGTAACACAACGATTTGATTGGCATTTCACATTTTCTGATAATAGTAAGAAAATTTTAAATGATTAAGTAAATTCAACAGCAGAATCAAATATACCTCATTAAATTCACTATTTGTTACATCAATACGAAGAAAATCCTCGCAACATGCGTCAACGTTGACTGCCCCAGCTTTCTTGATCATTGTGCGTAACGTCTTAACCCGATAACTTGCTTTGTCAATTGCTAAAATCTTGCTGAAAGTAAAAATGGATAGTGAACCGCTTTGACGACGAATAAAATACAGGCCTACTTAATTGAACTTATAAATAAAGCATAAAAAATCTCCACCCTTCATTTCGGACTAGTGCAGCAAGATGTATAGTTTTCATGCCAGGTGCTGCACAGATATCAAAAATATAAGTTCCTGCTTTTGGATTCAAAACCAGACTTGATAGACAGCTCGCCTAAAAATTTACAATTCACTGGTTTTGAATTAACAGTACTTGCAAAAATTGAACTTGGTTATGAAGCAAAACTGACGGAACAGATCAAAAATCATAATAAATAAATCATAAAAATCGTAAATGATACTTTTGACAAATTTTGAATTAACATAACTGTACCTTGTCTTGCAATAACAGATATCCATCCGTAACCATCCAATGTTTGTGCAAATCGGTATTTGCAGGAAAGAGAAGCAATTCATTAACATGACAATCAATATAAATCTGATCTTCCAACATCGAACCAACAGCAGTTTTGTACCAGTCGTCACCTTCTTGAGGTTCTAAACTCGAAATACTCCACCCTTCATCTTGCAAGGCTAAAACATTTCCGCTAAATCGAAGCTGATAATAAAAATTAAATATTGTGAAAATAAAATGAATTACCCTGCAATGCTTCATCAAAAGACCATTTTAGGGTGTTCACTCTTGCATATCTCGGATTTTTGACGATTTTTGAAACATGTTCTTTCGTCTCTTCAATTATATCTTTCATTGTTTCTAACTTAAAAAAAAATCATAAAGATCAAATAAAATCATATATCTGTATGGAATTTATGTAAAGAAGAAAGCTTTGGAGGAAAAAAATAAGGAACATTGTGTAGTAAGGATGAAATAAAATGAATTTTTTCTATTTATTTGATGTTATAAACGACTGAGATGGCCTTGACATAAATTATCAAATAGTGCTATAGTGAAAATGTTCATTAAAAATGTAACTTTTAAACGTTGCGAAAACTAAGCCGTCCATATTACTTTTGCATTTAATTATATAATCTTTACAAATTGAAGAAGAACTGAATATAAAAGAGAAAACAGTTGTCAGTTACGTGCCTGATGGGAAAAATAAGTGAAAAAGAAGAAAAATGAGCCGAACTTACTTGTTGGTCGATATAGGCTGCACGTTTCAAAATAGCATTAGAATATGCTTTCTTAGCTTTGCTCAATCCTTGACCAAAAATATGATCATACAGTAATACATAGAGCAAGTAACGATCAAAATGTAGTTCTGTTAATAAGTCATGCAATTCTTTGACTTCCAAAAGCCTATCCAAACATCTTCGAAAACGCAACGTCTCAGAGCATAGACGCAATAATTGCTTCTTGTTCTAAAATAATTCAGTTCAAGTTCAAAACATATAAGAAAGAAAAAATACATTTACATGACCGTAAAGCAACTTAATAAGTTAAACATACCTTAAAATTACTTGCATAAACTGCATTTCGAACATTCTTCTCCTTGTCTAACGCTTTTTGTACAACTTTCCCCGCTTCACTATATAAATCGAACATTGCAAAATGAAACTTGATTGTATCTCAATACCAGTAATATGGCTGTACAATTGAGTTAACGATAACTGACCTTAGCCATTATTCAAACTTCAACATTACACATCAACTATACACATTTCTACTATCGACATCCATGTTATTATTCACGTGTACGCTCCGTTCATAATAAGTAGTGTAAAAAGTAAACCGTGATTTATTTGTTACATAATTATAGAACATCATAGATTAGGCATTGTTTTTACGCTACCTTCAATATATAACACAAGTATGATTTAACAAAATCGTAAATCAAGAATTTTTGACTGATATCATATTCATCATTAGTGGTAATGAAAGATAGCACTGGGAAAACCATTAAAGTATCATTAAGATTCCTTTGAACGGTCTAATAATCCCACATGCTTTACACCACCATATAGCATATTGAAAGTTATTATGAGACAAACAAGATTCTTATGCTAATAAGGACTAATTTGAATATTCTGCAACTAATAAGGATTAATAATTAATATAATTTGAGCCATATCTAAATCCATATATTGTACGCTGTCACACACCAACGTTAAAAATTATCAGTGAAGTAACAAGGCCAATGGTGCCGGTAAGATTCATTAGCAACTAATTTCGACGGTCCAAGTCCTATTCATCCAAGTTGCATTATTATTGTATGCAACAAGTGATGAAATAGCTTAGTAACATGCAGGATTGATCCGTACGCTAAATGCAAGTAATCCATAATAATTTTTTGATAAAGCAAACATTACCACAATTAATAAATGACATACCCGATTAAATTCTCATAAATTCATAATTTTTATTGAAGAGTAAATCTATTTCTTAAAAATAATAAAATTAAATTTAACATTTCAGTTTTTTCTTTTTCAATAATTTTAGCGCATTTTGTAAACAATTTGTAAACAGTAATACTTTTATCAATTTATGATTAATTGTAAGATAAGATTTTATCATTTTTTCCTTTTTAATTTCATTCTCTTTCATTAAAAAAAGAGACGATAATTTGAAACGAATAAATGCCGTAATTAGTTAATTTGAATTTATTTTCACTTTTTCCTTTCACTTTCTGTTTAATGCTATGTTATGATTTCTTGAATATTTCATGAAGACTATGACGACTACAGAGATATTTCTTAATTACTTCTAATATTGCCAACGGCTAAATAATAATTAATGCTGCTGTTACTGTACCGTACCTGATCTGGTCATCCATTTGCGTTATATTATTCATCACTGATATTCAAGTAAATCCGGAATCCGATATTAAATATTTCTGTTCAAGTAAATTTTTTATCATTTAATTTTTCTAAATTTCTTTTCTTGTTATGTCTAGTTTTGTTCGTTATAAATTTTGATTTGTACTTCAAAATGGATGTTTAATTTAAAAAAACAAAAGAAATGAATCTGTAGAATTTTTATTAAACTTAAAGTATCTTTAATAATTATGAATTAATGTGTATTTGTTCCTCCGTTTGAAAAAAGAAATTTTGATGGAATTTTTGGTTTGTTCAAATTTTTCCATTCTTTTTAAGATTATTAGAGTAAGGGTGAAAACTAATCAGATGTTGAAAATTAAATGTTGCTAAAGAATTTTCTTATTTATTGTTTTTCCTAATAGCTCAGCATGCAGCAGGTAAATAGTGAAAGGTAAATTTTTTGATATAATAATTTTTGCGATGTGAAAACAACACAAAAATATTACATGAATAGTTTATTTATTTCGTTGTCGTAGGCTTAATACAATCGTGTTCAAAGAAAAGAAGGAAAGTATTTTTCATCTTTTTCAACAAATAATGGTAAAAAGAAAGAGTAAAAAAGAAGTAAGGAACAGTTTAAGATTCAATTATAGATTGCTATCAAGTGAGAAGTAATTTAACAATTCGCAATAAATTTACATATTACATCATTTATTTAATCTTTAAAATTTTTGATATCAAAGTATTATAAGTAGTGATAAGTAAGAATATATATCATTGGTATGTTATCATGATAATATATATTATTATTGGTAATAGTTATAGGATCGAATATATGTGGAAAAAGAATGAGAAAGATTAAACGATGATCAAATGAAGAATAGAATTAATACAGCGGTATTATGATTGTGAGAAATTTGAGGCAGATGAAAATGTTTGTTGAAATTGGATGAATGATTAGCTGATATGAATTAATAACAAAGATAATCCTATATTTATAGAGAAATTGTATATCTGTTTTATGAAATATTCCATTATTAATGATGAGAAGAAGAAAAGGATAAAATAGAACAAAAATGATAAGAGATTTAAAGAAAAATAGGAGAAAAAGATAGCGAATGATATGATAAACGATTATTTGTAGCAAAATGTTTTTTTCATTCATTTTGAAACTAAAGTGGAATGAATGGATGGATGAGTGGTAACAGAATAGTTATTGTAGAGTATGGTGACAGCAAAAACAGTTACTACAACTATAATAGTATTATTATTACTTCAATATGATCAAATTTTATATTTGAATAATTTCAATTACTTAATTAAAATAAAACAAAAGGAAAATGAAAAAAAGAAAAAGTTGAGAAATAACTGAAAGAAAATTAGAACAATTTGCCATTCCTTTTAATAAAGTAACACAGAGAGAGAGAGAGAGAGAGAGAGAGAGGGAGAAAGAGAGAGAAATATGAATTTTATAGAATCTTTTGATTCCTAAAATAAAGCATTTAAAAAATTAATTTCATTCCGGAAATATTTTAAATTCTAGGAAATTAATTCAAGAAATATTTCTAACTTTTTCAAATAAAAAGAAAAGAAAATGATTCATTCCGTGGATAAATAGCCCGAGGCAATCAAAAACATCGTATTTTTAACTATTACAGGAATAAAATTAGGATGTAATTTTTTTACCTATCGTTGAAAATTATAAAAACTTTTCCTTCAATAAGAAACAATAATAATAATAGGAGCAATAGTGAAAGTATTAATAATAGTAATAACGATAATAGTAGTGATAATTTTATTATTTAACGTAGTTAAATTTATCAGCAAGTGATAAAAATATTATCACTAATATTATCAAAACTTCAAATTTTTTTGGATGTGGCAGAAAACAAATGACTTTATAAAGCCTACGATAAATAAATGTTGTAATTAAAGGATGAGAGAAACAATGAAATAATAACAAGAAGAAATAAAAATTTTCTCTTTTGTTTTATCTTTCTGATTTTGTTTTTGTTTGAAATTTCTTGTTTTAAACAAAATTAGGATAAAAATTCCTTTTTTCTTTCAATTCTTTTTTTTCTTAATTAGTTTAATTTTTTTTTTAAATTTTAATTAGATAACAAAAAACAGGAAGAAAAAGAATGGGAAAAAACAGTTTTTGATTTACTGAGATTGATTGGAAGATTGAGGAATTGTATAAAGTGTACATTTTCTTTATATTATACAATCATTTAATGATTAATTAAAAAAGGATTAAGAAAAAGACTCATAGAGCCTACGAATGATAAGAAAAGATAAGAGTGATAAGGAATAGGAAAAAAAACAAACAAAAATAAAGAGGAATAGAGAAGAATGGGAAAAAGGATTACTAATACAATGATCCCGTGGATTAACTATCCTGGATTAACATTGTAGTTTTTTTTCTTCTTTAGAATTACTTAACACTAACAAATTATCATTATTGATAATCATTTTATGCTTTAGCAGGATGTGATCGTAATAATGTAATAGCAACAATTGTAGCAACAGCAAAAATAATAAATGTAAGCACACTGGCAACTGTAAAACCGGTTACTGACATACAAATACCTTGATTCATTGTAGCAACAATTACCGGACGACCAAGTTCATTTTCTGTTGTTGCTAATCGATGACGCAATGCACTCGGCAATGAAGCATACTGAAATAATTAAACAATTAATTATAAAATAATGATTAAAAACCATTATTATTTTTTCTATTTATTATTTATATTCAATAAAATTGAGAGATAGATGATTTTAGTAAATTTTAAAAAGATGAAAAATTAATGGAATAAGTGAAGCTTTCTCTCGAATTTAAAATTTGCATTAAGAATTAAAAATAATTGAATAGTTCTAATTTAATTAAGATGAAGGTAACAAATATACAATATTTATTTATTGTTTAAAATTTGAAAATTTATTTTATCTGTTTAAGATTGAAGTAATTAATTAATTGATTAATATTAAACAAACCTCTTCATTAATATCCAATGTATTAAGATCTGTGCGTACATCAACAATATTTTCATCTTTTACATCCCTCTTTTTCAACACCCTGAATGCAGCAGCTTGTCGTGATGCAGCTGCGACACTACCTCGTGTTTTTATCGCACCGAAACCTTGTGGTTCAACGCATTGCGGTCGTTGGCATTCACTGTTTGGTTCTTTAACTGTTATACTAATTTGACATTGATAGAACAATTGTGATCGATCCGCATATTTGTAAACGTGAGCTTCTTGTCCAGCCATTAAATCTGGAAAAAATTTTTTTTTCAATTTTTCCTTTTTCTTTTACTTTTCTAAAAAGTTAATTAATTATGTGATTTTATAACATAACTTTCTAAGTAATTATAAGAAATTAATAATTTTCCTGTATGTAAATAATTTGTTAAAAAAATAAAAAAGTAAAAATATAATATGTACCAGTTGGATATTCTAAATTATTGAGAAGATATTTGTCTAAAGCACAACCATCAGCATTTAATAGTTCAACTTTATCACCATTACCATCGTCAACAAAACATGAATGTACCACCGCACAGAATGTATCAACAGTTTCTGAGTCACATGTCCATTTATGATATACTGGTTGTCCAATCGTACCATATTGAACCGGTTGACCAGATGGTCCACCATCAAGGATCTACAAAAATACTTCATCAATTAAAGAATTCTTTCAATTAGACTTCCATTTTTTTACTCTACGAATTCAAAGGAATATTTTATAAAATAGAGTTTGATTTTAATTTAAAAAAATATATATTTCTTACAATAGATAGTAGTAATTGACAATACCTCATATCGACATATAGGCATGGGTACAATTTGTGTTGCAAATGCGGTTGTCATCTCGGAAACTTCAATTTGAGCGCTGACTGTTTTATCGGCTTCCATGTAAAAGCATTGTACCCGATAAGCGCGATCAATTTTTGTAACAAACAATGGATGAAATGAAATTACCACTGTTGTTGTAACAAAAATACCACGTGGATTCAATGATCGTGTCCGAGCAACATTACAGGAATCAAATGGAAGCTCAATTCCGGCTACCTGTCGACCACCTTCATCATTACGGCATCCTTGCTCATCATATAATCCTTTTACATATACATGACCTGAATAATAATTTTAAAATTATAAATTATATTAAATCAACAACATTTCGAAATTTTTAATATTAACCATCCTTTCACATTCATATTTTTAATACTAACTATTCTTTTATAATTATTCGAACAACAATTGATAAATTTTTAACAATTAACAAAACACTTATAGCTATGATTTTCTTCGAAAATTTTTGTAAAATTTCTCAAATTCTTATTTAAAAATTAAAATTACAATAATGAAATAAGCGTAAGTATAAAATGATACCTTCAAATGGATTTCGAGTATTAAAATTAATCGTAATAGATGTTGGTCCACATTCAATTTCTGGTTCACCTTCTACACCATTATCAATTGGAATAGCACCCGCTACAGTAATTAATGCCAAAATACTTACTAACCGAAACATTGCAAATTTAGGAAAAAAATGGAGGGTAAATAAGGAAATAATGTTTGTTGATAACAATAGTAGTGATTCCTGCTGTTGTTGTTGTTGTTGTTGCTGTTGTTGGTGGTGGTGGTGGTGGCAGTGGTGATAGTAGTAGTAGTAGTAGTAGTAGTAGTAGTAGTAGTAGTA